TTCACTTTATGTTATATAACATTTCTAAAATGAAATAAGTTTAGGATTGATGCTACAATATGATGACAAAGATGAGTAGTGAAGTGTCTAATATCTTAAAGAAAATTTTTCAAAATCTTCTCTAAGTTTTTTTTTTGCAATTTTTTTGTAATTTTTACCTATAAATGTGCAGTAATATATAGTGTACATACATATGTATTCATATTTGAGTAATATGCGTTTACATAATATTATGTTTGTATGTATATAAATCATAAAAAATCATAAAAATTGATGATGATTAAATTGATTAATGATTATGATGAATTTTTGTTAAATATAATATAAAAACAAACAAAGAATTTTTATAAAATATATATTAAACCTAAGTACATTGTATGTAGGTATTTATTGTTATACATATATGTATGTAGATAATTACAATAAATGTATGTCTTATGTAGGTATATTATGCATTTATATAACAGTACAATCATGGTTTTTGTATCCCATTATTGTATATCCTTGCAAACAAACACCATAAAGTAGTTAACCCGGTAGAAAATTGTTGAAATAATTTGTATTTTGGTGTTCAAGAGATCCAAACTTTATGTAAAAATGTAAAAATTTAATTCAGGAATTTTATGTTGAAGAAATTTATAAATGTTCTTTTTGCGAAGATTTCTTTTCTTCTATACTAGGAGTAATAAAAGGCACCCAGTCTCCAACTTGCTTAAATATTTTATATGAAATTCTTTTTAAAGTATAAAGTAACTGAAAGCGAAAGCATTTCATTTAAGAGAAATAATACTAATATAATTACGATAATGACTCGGTTTTTGATTGCTTTTATACCATGTGTTTGAAAAGTAAAGGACAGTTCGGTTGGTGCACCTTCTAGTTCGCATTTCTATACTATAAACTTTTCAATTAATTTAAGTATAATCTTGTAATTTCAAGATATCGATAATTTAACACCAAATATCACATTAAACTAATATATTTTTTAACCTATTGCTAAAAATTGCTTGCTGGGATTTACTGCGTATATCCACAGAACACTTTATAAAAAAAAATAACAAACTCATAAAAAAAAATTCAAAAATACAAAATTTTTGTCAAAATTTCATACATCTACCTATTTTAACGTAACTAAGGATGTACATATGTACATATGTGCGTAGAACGGGTGTGTATCGGTTTAGCGTTTCTACCGTTTAACTTACTTTATATTTCTTTTTTCTTCTTTCTTTCTTTCTTTTTTTGTTTTACTTTTTATGAAGTCGCTTGTATGATGTCTTTTACATATTTTATTTTTTTGCTTTTTCATTTTTGTTTTATTATTATTGTTGTTGTTTTTTGTAAGGAAAAGGTAAACTAATGGTTGGATTGTGATAAGGTGACTTATATACGCTGTCTGTATATTTATTTAGGCGCAAAATTAAATTTAAGGATATAAATCTTCTATAAACGGTTTACAAAATAAAAAAGGAAAAGTGTAAGCAACATAAAATTTGCACAAAAACAAAAAAAGAAAAAGAAAAACACCAAAAAAAATTAAAGAATTATAGGTGGTAGATTATGATTAAAGGTATACACAATAAACAAACAAACAAACAAATGAATAAGATAAAAAGAAAAAAAAAGGATAAGCGACATTGTTGTATATAAATGTATATATACATATATATACATGGTTGTATAATATCAGAGTGATAAAAACAACGAATAGTTTTTATTGGCATGTTTAAAATGAACACAAAATTTTTGTGTACTAAAGGTGTATATTAATAAACATATACATTTACAATATGCTTATATGTATGAATACTGTATATACATAAAACATTGTCATGCCTTAGTATTGTTCAATGTTGATGTTCATATTTTAGTTTAATTTAAAGAAAGACTACAACAACAACAACAAAAAAGGATACAAATTTCTTCTTGCTCTTTAATTTTTCTTTTGGTTTTTGTTCTGCGTATTTTGTAATATTTTTCATTTTCTGTTTTTATGTATGTCCTAAAAGAAGTAATAAAAGGATATTCTGATAAGAAGACAATGATTAAAGATAATTAATGTGTGGTTTTTGGAAAGTGTTTTTGGTTATTATTTTTTTTCTTGTTTTTCGATTAATTGTGAAATTTTCTTGAGATTGAGAATGTTCAAGTTGCTTTATAATTAACTTTTTTTCTCACCTCCTTAACTTAATTTCTTTTGTATAATATCAAGAAGGATTTTGATGATAAAAAAACATATATTTGTAAAATGTTTTTAACTTTTGAAATTAAAAATTATTGTCTTAACGTAATTTTCTTTAAATGATAACTTGAAATTTTCCAAATTTTTCTATTAGAAGAGCAAAAGAAGCTTAGGCAAAATTTAGGCTAAAATTTAAAATATTAATGTTGATATTTGTACAGATGTATAGTTTTAAAAATTTTAAGATTTTGTGTATTATTCTATTGAATCTAGTATCTCATAGATCTTGTTCAATATTGTTCATTATATTATACTAAAATTATATTACAAATACAACTATCTAGTCTAATGCATCGTAGAAATTTTTTAGAAAATTAGTGGATGAAATTTTCTAGTACATCGTTTACGAAATTTAGAAAATTAAATTTAGAAATTATTTATATAAAAGTTTCATCCAATTAATTCTTGGAAGCAAATTTATAAATTTTAATTAGTGGTTATTAAAATAATTGCAAGACAGAAGTACGTGTTAGTGAATTCCGAGGTACATTTTTGTGTGAACATGAATTATATTTGATTTAGGTTTAAGAAAAAAATTTGTAAAATTTTGTAAAATCACACACCCAGAAATTATAATCAGCCGGCTACATTTTTATAGAAAAGAACACTAATTAAAATTTTTGAGTTTTTTGCATCTGAATTTATATAAGGTTGTACGCCATAATTTTATAATTGTTTATGATTCAATATTTCGAAATTAAATACTGATTATGGCCAGATTTATTGTATTCAAAAAATATAAAAAATTTTCATTCAATGAATTTCTGTTAAATTTCTTATTCATAATTTTTCGCCAATACCATATTTTAAAGTATTTTTCTTAAAGGCACTAGCTTTGCTTCTCTTTCTTAAAGACACTTTCTGTGTATGTAGGTATACGTGAATGCTTTTATCCACTTGTCTCTATATATTATATAGAGAAAAAAGAAATTTTCTATAACAAACCGATTTTCTACATTTTAAATATTCTGTTCTTATATTCATTATGTATGATTTATTACCATTTCGTTCCCTGATGACTGAATTTTTTCATGCTTATTTAAATTCATTCTATGGTTATTCATCATTTTGCATAGATTTTTCTTTTGGTTTTTTGTTTTTCTTTTTTTTTTTTAAATTATATTCATCATACTTGATTTTCTATTATGTTCTCATCTTGTTTTTGTCAACTCTTTTTTTTTTCAATTGTTGTATTCTTTGTTTTTTTTTGGTGTTGTTTTGGAAAAATTTATCCCATGAAGCATTGCTTTTTTCATTTTGTATCATTACAATTTTGGTTTAAGAAAAATTTTCCAAATTTGATTTATTTTTTTAAAGCTTCATTTTATAAAATTTTTTAATCAAACATGTTATTTTAAATATTCGGTTAGTGTAGAGAATTATGATTATTGGAGAGGAATAATGATTCTATTAATTCTATTAATTGATTTGCAATATTTGAATCTTACGTTATTATTGAATTGCTTACAATATCTTACGTTATTTGAATTAAATTGCTTAATTGGTGTTTTAATTTTGTAATCTAACCCGTTCTCAATATTATTTTTGCAATAGATTTGCATAATATAGACTTAAATATATTGTAATAAGATCAAAATAAGAAATATACTAAATTTTTGTCCACAACCATATTTAAAAGGAGATCATAAAATTTTAAATGAAAATTTAAAAATTTATTTATATGGAAAATATGAATACTCGTATAGAGCTTGCAAAATTTTCAATTTTTAAAAATTGAAAAACATTAGTATTAATTGCATGAAATGAATATTGTCTTTATCTTTAAATAATTTCTCCAAATTGATACATACGTAAAACTTAGCTACCGACAATAATTGTACTTTATAAACTAGAGAATAAATTATTGTTTTCTTTCTTAAATTAAATATACTCCAATTCCTAGCCAATATATGCGATATTTGCAAAATAATAAAATTAAAATATAAAACTTCACTATTGTACATTACGTGCACTTTGTAATATACAAATAATACACATTGTTGCTCTTACACCGTTAATAAATTACCTACACATAATATTTTGTATGTATGTCTACCACAATATACGTACACATGAATGTAATTTTTGGCAATTCAATTTTAAATTACATTACAAAAAACCAAAAAAAAAACAAAGAAAGAAAAATATATATTTTTTTTTTTGTATAATATTCATAAAAGTTATTTAATTTTATTAACCCAGCAAATTGTTATTTGGGTTGTTGATCTGGCAATATATACACCAACACACATAATATATTTTGCAATAATTTTCCCTCAGCATATAATTTCATCAACAACAATCTTTATACTTACATACATATACTCGTTTAAGTATATCGCATGTTGATTTTAAATGATTTCAAATATTTCATTATTTCTTCCCTTTATCATTGTCAGAAATGATATAAGAAACCAAAGAATTCCTTCCCCCTTTTCAAAAAAATACAAGAAAATAAAAATCAAAATGAGAAAAAACAGAAGAAAAAAAAAGAATTTTTTTTTCCCAAAAGAATTAACATTACAATTTACTATTATTGTTGTATATATACTCATGTATACCTATAATACCGTTATTATAATATACTTTACTTACTCCATCTACTTAAATGTACTTTTAAAAGAAAAGAATAAAATAAGGAAAAAAAAAAACTAAGAGAAAAATATTACAGAAACAAAAAAAAAAATTAAATTTCAATTTTTTAAAATCAACTTTTCTTACCTTTTGTTTTTTTTTCTCTCTTTTCATTTCATTTCAGACAAAAACAAAACAACAAAAACAACAGAAGAAAAAACGCAAAGAAAGAAGCAGTAAAAATGACAAAAAAATCCTTTAAGCCTTTGCACCACAATATAAGGATTAAAGATCCTTGTATACGGACGTTATAATGGCTTTTCAACATTCATACACCAACACACACACACACATCTATATATAAATAATGTATATTATAAAATTTTGTAAATTATTCTAAATTTGAAGATTTCATTCCTGCCTACATTCAGACTATATGTATATGTATAAGGAAGGAGGAAAAAGAATAAGATTTTGTTGTTGCTGTTGTAATTTTTTTTCTTCACTCCGATTTTTCTTTTTTACTTTTTCGGTAAGTACTTGAAATTTAAAATTCGCATGAATATTTCAATTTTTCGTTTTTATTATTTCATTGTTATTATTTTTCTTTTATATTATTATTATTTTGTTTTTTCTGTTTTTTTATCTCACTTTTACCTCAAAATGACATTTACACGCTTATAAAACAATAAAACACAAAAGAAATACAATACTAGCTATAATAATAAAAACGAAAAATGAAAATTAAAAAGAAAAAACGAAAGGAACGAAATTCAAAATCATAAAATGATAAAATAGAAAATTTTAGGGTGCGTTTACATCGCATTTACTAATTTTGTATTATAAATTATTGTATATTTCATTTTCGTTGGAAGTATAACAATAATATATTATAAAATATGTTTTAAAGATAACTGATAAAATATTATTATTGCCAGTCCGTTCGAGTAGTTTAAATACAATTGCTTAAACGAATATCGTTTAAATAATGAAAGCCTATTTAATATACTCGACGGTAGATTATTGCCCAAAGAAGTTGCATTAAATTTACGCTGTTTCTCTACTCACTATAGAGCATTCTAGGACACATATTTTAAAATTCATTACTTATCTTAGAAATTGAAATTTTATGATAATTTTTGAGTCAACTGACAAATAAAGGAGAATTTACTTTATTTGTGCTCCGAAAAGGAATATCGACATAAATGAAACAGAGTAATGTTCCAGTATAAAATTCTATAACTATAACAAAAATTCTATTAAATTCAATTAAATTTAGTTTTTTTTTGTTTTCGAATTTTCAATAAATTCGTTTGTAAACAATTAACATATTAAATCTAGTAAATATAGTTATGATACTCAATAATAAATTCTGTGTGAGTTGGCAATGCCAAGCAAATAATTATAATTTGAAAAAAAGCAAACGGCATATTTTTGTATTTTAGTTAGATATGCTGCAAAAGAATTTTGTTGCTTGTCACAAACACTTGTCAAAAATGGATATTATATTCGAATTACATACCAGATAAATTAACCTCTAAGAAAAAAAAAATAATATTATAAACTCACTGGGGAGTAATAAACCTCAAAATAGTATTATATGATTGCAAATGAAAACGTACTAAAAACTTTGTAAAATGTAAAACAACAAAAGAAAAAAAAAGACTAAAAATACAAGACGGAACAAAAAAAAGAAACTTAAAAGAAAAATACAAAAACAAATTTTTTTTTATTGTCCTTTTAAATGAAATAATAAGTGATAAAGGATAAAAAAGAAATTTTGGTATTTCGAAATTTTCTAACAGTTTTCGACTTAATATACAAGAGACTTTTTTTTAAATAACCTTTCAATCTTGTCAAAAGTTGCATTACTTGCATCATTCCTGGTTATTATTCGGGAGAAGACCCGATTTAATTAACTATTCAACTAAAAATAAAAAAAATTAATTTTTGTCACGGTAAATTGTATATGTGAATCAATTCTTGCCATTGTTTGAGAAGTAATTTTTCACTAGAGTTTTTTGAAATTTAAAAAGAAATACGAAATTTTTTGAGGAACTTTAAAGTATATAGTAGATTGTAGATTTCTAAGGAAAACGAGTGGAGTAGGAGTATCCGCCAGGCCATCGCAGTCAAAAGTATATAGTAGAAGGTTATTATTTTTTTTAAAGAACAATACAAACTACGTTTGTTAATGTTCTCCTGACCGTATTGGTCCTTTTTTATTTGATTTGTGAAAGAAGGAAAAAAATTTCGAAAAAAAATAATAATAGTATGCAAGCCTATATAAGTAGGGGTTTTAATAATAGCGTTTTTTTGATAAATTAAAAAATGAATGTCTTCATTAATCATTTTACGTATAACACTCTCCGTTAAATTTGATATAATTAAGGCAGCAGCAATATTATTACGAGTATTATTTATATTTAAATTTAATTTTCAAAGTTATTCTTTGCAAAACGCAAAAAAAAAATTTATTAATAATAAAAAACGTAAAACAAATTTCTAGGGGTTTTGCAATGAGCACACTTAAAAATTAATTTATACATTAACAGCCAGTTTACGTACATACTTCACTCTTAAGTCACCAAAAAAAGAAGGGCTGATGGTGTAGAAAAGAATATACCAGTCGCTTATAATGAATGGTGAACCGCGTTGGAATAAGAATAATTTAAAGTTTATAGCATTACGGTTATGTCATTCAAGCTCCTTGCATTACTAATTGCAGTAATCCATAAATTTATAACATTTTTATTGTAATTATACAAAAATATCCAATATTCTTTTTGTTAATTCATAAACAATTAAAAATCTTTTTTAGAACTGCAAAAAAGTAATGGACAATTATAAAAATTTTATAATGAATTTCTTAATTATCACTTTTATTTTCATTTTTACTTTGTTTCTTTTCATTTTAGCTATTACTAAACTATTATACGTATACTAATTTTTAAGTTAACATTGAAAAGTAAAGGAAAAATTAAAATATAAAAAGTTAAGAGTGATTTCCTTTTTAATACAACATTCAAAAGTAAAAACTTTGAAAAAATTAAAAACAAAAGGACGAAAATTTTTTGAAAAGGCCATTGGTTTTGCTTTCTTTTCTCTTTCGTGCCTATTGTTATTCTATTTTCATTTTTCATTATATTTGTCTATGGAAAGCTATATAATGGTTGTGGCTCTTTAAATTACATATAAATACATATATATACAACTTTTATTTTATATTTTTGCTTAGAGAAGTGAAAAATTATGGCATAGAAAAATAAATAAAAGGGAAAAAAAATAATAACAATTGCTCTGCAAAAGAAAAACTTAAAAGCAAAGAGAAAAAAAATAGAAAAACAATAGAATAAAAAAAAAGGATATGCAACAAGGACATAAAATATGTCAAGGAATACAGTATTATACATATATACATATATGCTTGTATACGAAGAGCAAAATTAAAAATGAACAACAAAATAAAAACCGAAAAATAGGAAAAAAAAAATTATAAATAAAATAGAAAATCAAAAGTTGAAAGTAAAAAAGCTTCCTAGTGAAAATTAAATTTTTTATTTTGTTTTTATTATTTTTCTTCCTTTTCTTGATTTTGATTTTTCTCATTATTTTTCTGTTTTCCACTTGGTTTTCTTTTTTTTGTGTTTTGATTCGAAACTCATTCAACTGGAAAGTTATTTTGCTTGTTGGTTTCCCCATTTAATAAGTAGGTTGAAATATTTTAGTATTGTGGTTGCCATTTAAAGAAATAAGCAAATAAAAAGCTGACAAAAAAAAAACAATTTCCCACAAAAATTCCCCACAAAGGTCCTGTTAATGTAATCGCTTTTGAATTTTGAATTTTAAATAATTTAATCTGAATGAATGAATAATATCGTACATGTAAGGAGCAATATGAAATCCTTGCAGTATTTAATTTTCATTAATGATGCATAACATCTAAAATTAAATGTAAACTACAAATTGATAATTATTAAATGTAATTTTATAACTGTTCAATTTGGAGAACTTTTACAGAAGTACAATTACTTTTGTAGTTAAATTTTCAATTTAAGCTATTGTATAAATCTCTAAGTATATGGCAATAATAGAGAAGTAATAAAATACATCAGTAGTATAAAATAATGCGGGATAACGTAAGCAATATTAATGGAAATTTTGTATGGAAGCGTTCGTGATAGATGCTAAACAAAAAAGTATGTGTAAATGTACAAAAAATATGTATACTTAAAAAATGTTTATATTTTAGCTAATTTTTTACCTTAAATGCACTGAAATTCGAGAATAAGAATGAAAAAAAATGAAAAATTTAATGAAAATATAAAACTTTAAGAATTAAACTACAGTAAAACGCCAGAATATGAACTCTTTGGAATCTGACTAGAAAATTTTTTAAATTTATTTTTATTTAAATGAAAATAATTAAGTTTACAACTAAAAAGAGCTAGCGAAATTAAAACCAAACTTCTAAATGTAGATTTAAATATGCTAATGTGTTATATAACTTCTCATGAATTGAAGGTTTTGACAAGTTGTTCGTAAAATTAACCATTTCATGCTTCATTTTTATGGTGTTAGCTTAAAGATTAGCTTTAAGTTCGGTGCTTTTTTCTTTAAACCAAAATTTAATTTATTTTTAATGAAATTTTTAAAGAAAAATTATTTTTGATATTTTTATATTTTTCTACTTACTGCTTTTACTTTGTGTCGGGAAGAAATTCAATTTTGCTCTTCAAAATAAAAGTATATAATTCCAGACCTCCATTTTTATAGATTTTACTGTAGATATGGTTTTTATATTTTTTTTGCAAAAAAAGTACTGTAAAATTGTTATTTTTTTTTACATTTTATAAATATTTTTTTTTATTTTCTTATACTTTTTTTTTCTAAAGTCATAAGGGATTTTACTTCAATAAATTGACTTTTCGTCTTTAATTGATTAGTAATATTATACTCATACTTATACATATAAACATATTCTTGCATATATATACATAAGTTAATAAGTTTTCAATTAAAATGAATATATATATAAGTACGCATGTATACATGTGTATAACATATTTTGATATGACGAAGTTCATATTGTACTATATAGTCATAAACGCTATATAAATTGTATAAACACACGCACATGTTTTGTACACCCATTTTACAGCTATAAGAGAAAATGAAAGGGGAAAATTATTGCGAAAAATAAAAACATGGTATTTACATAATATGAGTACATTGTACGAGTATGTACATCACCATGAATTTTGTTCAAATATACATATATTCCATGGATGGTCGTGTGTATATTCAGTTTATGTTAAAAATAACGTACAAGGGTTCAATAGACTGTGATGATCATGATAATTTTGATGGTTTTTGACGATGTTGATGGTGTTGCTGTTGATGATGATGACGACGACGATAATGTTAGAACAAGAATGATGATGTAGTTAACGGTTTGTTTTATATTATTTAAGATCAGGACACAAGGATTCGCAATATTGTCAATATTCTAGAACGCAAAAACCTATAATGAATTATTATTTACTATAGAATATACAGTTATTTAGTTATACTATATAATATACATTTGTAAAAAAAAAAAATTCTCAGCATACGTTTATTATATTCGAATAAAAGTTGGTATACTATGTACATACATTTATGTGCAATAT